AGAGGAATTTACTTGGAAATTGCCGCGGTCGCTGAACACGAGCATGCCTGCGTGGAGTTCATGTTACGGCGAGGTACAGCATCATTGGAAGAATGTGACCCGTGGTGGTCGCATTTTGGTCGGTAGAGGGGGAGTGTCGTATCCGAGTTGATAAAAAAATTCTTCGAGCTACGAGGAAACTTTTTCTGGACGTTGATTTCTTCTGTTCTCGTGAAGCTGTACATTTGCACATACTCCTGCCTCCACCCCTACCTTCAAACCATGAGGCGAATGGGGAACTGCCAAATTCCCACAATTCCTGATAGTTCGTTGGCGAAGGCCTTCTCCCTAGCCGCTCAACATCAGTTTTTGGGAGAGACTTGTGAAATTTTGGGAGAAATGAGTAGGATGGGTAGGCTGAGAGAGGTGGTTAGGGCTGTAAGCAATCAAGCGGGTGGTACTGAAAGATGAATTTTGGGAATGAGGTCGTGCTGGCGCGGCCGCTTCATGACGTATACTGGTTACAGGTGCGAATCAAATGCCGAGCGAAACACATGGCCGTTGGGCAAAGGACAAGGTGGCGCTGTTTATCGACGGGGGGGCATTTTGTACTATCACTGCTTCCCTTGCTCCGGTTTGCAAATCTCACTTTGGTAAAACTTGTGAACGCTTGTAAAGCTGGAGCAGGATCGTCTAGCCACCATCCCAAAACGTGCTCAAGAAAACGGCTACTGATGGTCGACACATCCCTATGGAAACGCAAAAATGCCACCCCCCCCCCGTCGATAAACTGCGCCGGACAAGGTCTCGGTTCCGAAGTGACAACTTGTTCTGGAAACCAAGCGAGCTCTGCGCAACAAATTTTGCACAGATCGAAACCTCGACCCATTTCCAAATGGAAGGGGAGGGAGAGAACTGAAAATGGAGATGTCGTACCCAAACTTGTCAAAAAATCTTCCTAAGCACCTCCGTTCCACCTGGCGTTCTTTCAGCGACTCAGGTTCTACTTGAATATTTGGCCTAGTGGAAGTTAGCATAGGGTAAAGTGTTCACTAAAATTAGGAACTTATTATATTTATCGCCAGCTCTAAACACTTAGGCCCACCAACTACATGGACGGCCAAAATACATTTCTAGCAAGTTCAAGCTGTTTTAATCACATCAGTCACACTACTCTATGGCGCGTCGTAGACGCTCGGGGATACTGGAATGTGATACCCCGAGGCACAGTGCCGGCTGGAGGAGTGGAAGGGGCATCTTGCATCTTCGCTACTTCCCATTGTCTTGTCGAGCCATCGAGTAGAGATTGTGTGAAATCTTGTGAAGCCATAAAATGGTACTAGTCAGACTTTGTAGAGCTCTCTGGTTATGTTTGTAAAGATTATCTTCCAAGTCTTGTAATGCAATGAGCACGGCAATGGGCAGCAGCAAAAGTGCGAAATGCCTCCCCCCTCCCCAAGCGAGCTGCGCCAACACCTATAGGGTTCCAGTTTATTTTGTACCTTCGCTAGTTCAGGTTGGACATGGGGACAATAAACAACTCCAAGTGGAAATAATCAACAATGCTCAAGCTAATGAGGAACTATTGATATATGCAAAAGCAATACTTCAATTATGAGCTAGTGGTAAACCTCTGAACATCAGCATGATTGTTGAATACTACCAGAACAGTCTTTACAACCCGACTATCCTATTGTTCAACGCAGTTCAAATGCGATTAATCGGCCATAAGTAGAGGGTTGTTGAGTTCGGGGCGTTGAGAGCATAGATCGCAAATCAGCCGATTGCGGAGTAAAGGGTGAGGCCAGAATGAGTGGAAGGAATGCTGTGGTCGGGGAGGGCAGCGCGGGCGTGGCCGCCTGCCCGTAGTGGGCCGTCCATCGTTGAGTCAGTCAGCCCTGCTGCTGTCACAAAAGCACAATGACCTGACCGACGCTGATGGACAAGAAAAAGATACTCAAATTGGTCGTTGTTGGCGACAGTTATGTCGGAAAGACAACGTGAGTGTCATTTTTCCATTTATTCCTGACTCTTTTTTGTAATTTCTATTGTGACTATTTCTAGTAGCGCATATTTTTGTCACATGTTTATCGATTATTCCCACTTATTTTCGCAAATGATGATGAGATAGTTATGAATACGTGGCGTGTACATGGAAATTTATCACCTGAAACTATATTTTTACATTTTGTATAATACTTTGCTACGAGTAGCAGAAGGAAGCTCTCTGATCTGATTCCCTAAATTATGATTCACTGTTTCTATACGATTCACTTGCTACTTATTCTTGTTCTAGAGAACTGAAATTATTCACTGATTTGCTTTGTTTTTCGTTTATATTTGGCACTATTTATGGCCCTTATCTTCACAATCAAGGATGGGTTTTGATCAAGCTTTTCACCTATGGCTAGATATGAATACGTATTTCCACTCGATGACAGCCAGGGAACGTCGTACGTTGGGGATCCCCAGCGATGGGGTTGTATTCGATCACGAGAGGGACTAGAGTCGTATAGCTCTTCAGGAAAATAGTCTCGTTCGTATCTTTCTCTAGGTGTTATCATGTGAGCTATATACCCTTCCCCTACTTGACGGCAGCTTTTGAGGGAACACCTGATAATTCTCGGAACAATCCCCGGAAAGGAAAAGCCTGGAGGATCTAGGAATGATGAGGTACGACGACGAGTCATTCCCAGAGGGGAAATTTTAAAGCTCATTTGGCGCTTCAGCGTCAGGACGTGTCCGGGTCTCCTAGCCCGATTCCCTGTGCACCATTACCACGTTCGTTCAGCTCATAACCGCCAGGTACGTACGCCAGCACCACTGACACCTCGGAATACCACATTTGCTGAGAACTTCTCTCTGGCTGGGGGGAAACCCAAAACCAAGTGTCACATTTGCTTGGCGTGAAAACCCTTGGTACAGGCTGTGCTGTGGCTGGCTCTGAAGCTACCTGAGGTGCTGATTCCCGTGCTGGGACGCCAGGAAGGATGTTAGTGTTCATAGGCTCAAACTACCTTCGGCCAAATTTATCCTAGAATAGAAACAATTTTGATAAAAATCTGGCCTCAATTCAGAGGAAGGGGCAGTACTAGATAAGCAATGCTGTTTACTTAATTATCTATTCCTGAATTTATTTCGATTCTGTTTTGAGTTTTCGAACTAAATAGTTGAAAAATGACTTCATTTTGCTTCACTCTCCTGATCATTCTGAAATCAGGGTAGAGCATCGGAACTTAGTGAACTGGCAGTGTCCGTATGTCAGTACCCCCTCCCCATCCTTAAAAGAAATTTGTATTCTCATTACGGTTTCCCAAATTCTCTCGTCCAGTACGATCTCCTTTCACAACCTATATACCTACCATCTTACCAAATTTTTACGGCTGGCTTCCAATTTTTGAAAAAAATCCCCAAAAAATGGGCAGAGTAGGGAAATTTGAGCCAACCGAGTATCAGAACAAGTAATAAGAATGGTCTTATGGTAATAAGAAAGGAATAATAAGAAAGGTTTTTATGGTAGTTCTGGGTCGCTGCCAAATAAGAAAGCTGGGTACGGTGTTGGGGAAGCACAGTTGATGTCGTCGCAATCAGTTGGGTTGGTGTCAAGAGGCATGGAAAGGACCCGAACAAATGGTTGTTTTTCCCACCGCTTGAGTACGACACTTGATGGGATTGCTGAAGCGGTGCTACACCCCGCCGGTAATCCCCTTCTGTGGCCTACGCTTTGCTCTTGCTCAGAACGTCGATGAAGGATGCAAATAGTTGTTGTGGCCTGTGTTGCGGTGTAGTTTTGTTCGAAAGGACTTAATCAATAGTCATTTGATACAGTCTGATAGACTGATAAGCTAGTAAGCCTCCTAGCGATTACTGACCCGTCCGCGATTCTCCCTCAGCGTTGTAGTGGTCTGCAGCTTTTGAAGTGGGAACGGAGTTTCAGGTAAGGGGAACCACTCATAGTGGAAAGCATGGAATATGTGAAGAGGCTCACCTACCCGGAACTTCCTAACCCTCTCGAAAGTTACAGTTTTCTACACAGGTCATTGCGAGCTGATGCAAAATGGCAGACTGCCACCTTCGAGGCTCATAGCGCCTTCAAGCCTTTCATTTCCCCTAGAACCATCCAATGAAGGGTTTGTGACGATAGAAATGTGGGCGATAAAAAATCAACCTCTTGTTAGGGTGGGTATGCTTTTCATTTTAGGTCTAACTTCTTTATTTCCCAATGGTCACACTTGTCTTTTTGTCAGTGGTCCTTTATTAGAAATACCCTTCAGTAATACCCATACTTTTTCATTATTACATTTAAACTGTTCTCTCTTTCGATTTGTCCACAACTTCCTGAATTTCAGACTCCTCTTCGCTTACACGGAGCGACAATTCCGTAGTGTCTACTCTACTACAGTTTTTGATAACTGGTCTATGACAGTAGGAAATTGAGCACCGTAACTACACGGTAAATCTGTTCGACACCGCTGGACAGGTAGCTTTATTAACTTGTTTATTTTTTTATTTGTTTTTTATTTAATTATTTGTTTTGCTTTATTTTGAGAGCGAGGTAGCGTGGTGGCAGCTGGCCTGCTTACCTCGCATACGATGTGGTGGTCAAATCCCGGACTGGCTCCCGCCCTGGCTGTCCAAGTCTTCAACCCTTCCGGGACGGCAAATCGGTAGCAGGCTTGCCCCGGAGGCGGAGGGGAGGGGGGTTGACCTATGCAGTCAGCGCCACCAAGCCATCTTTAACCATATCTATTCACCAGAAACCCGTGCACCCCACTCGAAATAGTCCCAATGCAAAAAGAGTCCTTTTTATCGGCACAGACCTTTGCCTCGAATCTTCATGTCATGCTTGTTATTTATACTCATTTATGTTGATCCTTAGACCTTAAATATAGCCTTCGCACCAACCTGGTAATGCAACTGAAATTTTTCAACTCTGAACTTGACTTCCGCCCACTTTATCCTTTTTTTTTACTTCTACTCTGGTGTTAGCATTTTTACTTCTGCCGGTCGCATCATGTCATTGATGTGTTTGCCTTCTCACTTTGACATTCTTACTGCCACGCAGGGCTGGTTCTATAATGACAAGAAGCCTCATTTTTTCTGTATAAGCGGTTCTGCAGCTGACAAGGGGTCGCTGAACGCATTGTAGTGAAGCGAATGAATTCTGGCTGGTTAGCTTGATCTGTTTCGCTATGAGTGCCATTACTACACAATGGGGCAGCATTTGAGTCATGTAGCCAGGGAAACAATGAGGCGATTAGCAAACAGTTGGAACCAGGGATCTTGAACTTTGGTTCAAACTCGATTAGCTGATCACCATCGTTAGTTTACCGAAAAAGACTTCACTGCCGATGGAAATTGCCTGCGACCTGCTGGCGCCCTCCCAAACATATCCATTAAATTTGCCCTTTATTGCCCTGAGGTGCTTTTCAGGCCACCTGAGGTATTGTCAGACCTACCACAGCTATCCCTTTGAGCTCTGCTTCTTCCCTGCCGTCTCCAACAACCCTCTGCAATACAACAACTCGACCAGCCGATCACTGTCTCGCAGCTTTGAAGGCACAGACCACGATGAACTAAGGCGGGACCTCCCAAATGTAAAAGGTGGCCCAGTGCAAGTGAGAATGTCCCATTATTCGTAGTTCGAAAATTGGGAGAAAACGCGCAGCAGGTACAAATGTTGAGCTCATGGGCTTGCACTTTTGTTTTAACCTCTCTGTCTAGGAACTGTAGCTGCGTTCGAAGACAATACACCCACGCCCACGGATCCTAGTCCTTGCTGCATGTGGGCACAACGGGTCCGCAGCTGCGGTAGCGTGCTACTTTCTCCGGCTAAACGTGCACGGGAACGGAGCTAAAGCATAGCGATGCTCGGATGCCGTAACCGTACTCCGTCCGCGCTGCCGCACGACCAACCACACGCCGAAACATAGCCGAACGCGCTCCTTGTCTGCGCTCTCTCACTTCTGGTTGTTCTCCACCACTGAGTATGTGTTTCGGTTTGGTACCTCGAAATCGATGCAAGCGCTGCACCTGGAGCGTTGGGTAGCGTAAAATCACCTACCATGGAAATGCTGCAAAAATTCGTCGTGCATTGCTTACCGTAGTCCTAAATTCGTACACAGCTATCTTCTATTACAGATTTTTTTCTGAAGCTTTTTTCGTTCCCTACTTTCTGTGTTGGATTGTATTGAGTACAGGGTGGAGCGGAGCAAAAAACGAGAAAAGAGTTGCGAACCAGGTTTTGCGCAAAGGTCGCAGGTCGTTTTGCCTTCAAGTTCGAAAAACTCGTATAATGAGACTATGGGCCTGTCAAATCTTTATTCATAGTGTTCTCGGAGTCTTTTCCTAATCCTTCTTTGCTGGGTAGTCACTTACCAGCTACTGTTTCATAATGACTACCGCCAACCGTAATTCTTGACAGCGGGTTTTGCCTTCACCCTTGAAATATTGGAGATTGAATAATTTCACCTCTATGATCCTAGGTACCGGACCCTCGTTTGTCTCTATCTGGCATTGGTATCGGGCAGGGCAACGCCAATCGATTGTGAATTAATCACAACGGAAGGTCGTATTTGGCGCAAGGGAGGGGGAAAGTCAATAGTTGGTGTGAGAAAAAATAATTTTTGATAGTTGGTTTTTTCTTTGTTTCACCGATGCTAGAGAGGGGGGGGGGTCGTATTTGGTTGTTGTTGGGAGAGGGGTGAGTCGTAGTTGTCATTGAGAGGAATATGATGCGTTGGGAAAGATTTTTCCTGGTTGTTGACCTGTCGCGGTTTTTTTTTTTTTTTTTTTTTTTTTTTTTTTTTTTTTTTTTTTTTTTTTTTTTAAAAAAAACAGCGTTTTTCAACTGTTGATGATATACTCTCCTAGTTGGTGGCACTGCCAAGGGTTTATTCAAGTACTATTTCCGATAGTTGAAAATAGTAATTAGTTCCTGAATCCCCCCAGGTTGACAGCAATTTTGGGGAAAAACTAGAGATTCTCAATTCTTCTGGAAATGCCTAGAAAAGTGGTAGGAAGTTGGGAATCTAGGGAAGTAGTAGGTAAGATGGGGCAAGGGGAGGGGGTAGTGTCAAAGGATGGAATCAGGGGGTTGTATTTTTCAAGAAGCCAGGGAAGGTTTCTTGCTCTTTTGGTCTCGTCTTCTCGAATGAATCGATTAGACAGAAATGAGCCTATTGAGAATTCGATTAGTCTGTCCGGTTTGGTCGAAATGTCATTATTCGTGCATGACGTAACTGAATGGCACTCACCAAAGATGGCTAGGAGTGGTCATAAAAATCATTGGGTGGATGAAAAACCTTGACTGGAACAATACTAGTCTCTAATTTGGCTCTTTAGAGATTCTTTAGAAAACTCCGATTTTCTTCGCTAGCCAGTCTCTTACGGCAGACCATGTTTAGCAGGCGAACTCCTTTTACTCATGGGTCGTTCGTTCCTAGGCGAACGTAGATAGGGCAACTCGTTTCAATAATTCAGAGAAATTTTTAAGTCTGCGAGTGAGGGGATCTTGTCCAGAATCGAGGATCTTAAGGACTTAGACCTTTCGAAAAGTTTACCAGCTGGCCATCGAATAGCACCTGCTACTGTCCTACGGTTAATATACTTTTAGCTTACCACAAGTTCCAGTATGAAAGTTGGATATGTGGCGCATAGTCAAGATAGCGCCTCGTCCAGTAATTAAGTTTTACTTTAGTATTATGCGCAAGTCCCAAAATCAGTACTACCCGAATATTAGATTGCTTTTACATTATTCTAATTTTTGCGCCTAAGCAATACGGACTGTCTGGGTGTTTCCTCAGTGGTGAGTCATCGCTTTTAGGCTCTTCAGGAATGAGGTAAGCAACGCAAATTGGAAGAACAAACTGACTGGCTGCTACCAGCCATGGACGGCCCGCGCGAAGTGGGCAGGCTCTTCTCCTTACAATGTAGAAGAAGCTTTTTCCTTTCGTCCTTACTTCATTCTGTAAATTGCTCCTTGGTGTGCCGAATTCACCATAGGGGCTAAAATAGGCTCATTTAAAGTGGTATCTTTGCCTTGAGGCGGAGGCGTGTGTGCCAGGCGGCATGCATCCGGGATCGAACATCGAGGGCCCAACCATCTTTCTACCCTTGTGCTTAACGCGACGGATGAGAATTGTAGCGCGAATCTGTACAGGAGGATAGGAACTGGAACTCTGACTTGCACAGGCTTTGTGCAAGCAGAGTTGTTCCCCGAAGCTTGTGCTATAAATCACATCTCATTCAGTGAGCCACTACGATTCTGATGCAAGTAGGATGTGTGCCACATCTCAGAAACGGAATTCATCTGTGGCTAAGACTATTCTCGGCTCCTTTTTTATCACCTTGGGTTACTAGTGGACAGAAATCGCATCTGTGGCATATCTATAGCAACTTCTAATCGGTACTTTGAAGTCTTAGCCTATCAGCGCTGGAATTGTGCTGAAAACCGGTTTAGTGCATGGCTCCGGTTCTACATACCGTAAGTATCCGTTTTGGGAACACTTACTGTGCATGGCGAAGGAATGCTGCACCCACAGCAAGTGCAGTTGTCAGTACAACTATCGTGTAACGTTTGGAGAAAAAAAAACTGGACGTAAAGTGTGACTTAAGTGCGCAGTCTACACCGATCTCACTGGCGTAGATGTGGGCGGGAATAGTCAGCCGTTATGCCTTTTTTGGTGTCATAGAGGTGCCATGGACGTAATGCGCTCGCTAGTGTTTAAATGGTTAGTGAGCAGTGGAAGTAGTCACTATGGAAAAGAGGAGCTCTTTATTGTTTGCTCTCTATTCCACGCTGGTAGTATGGGTGGGGACGAAACCATTGCGTCTTTTCGATAAAGATTTCCTCGTCCTGAGGGCAAGTCGCGATAATTCGGTACTCGGTCTAAAATGATAGCAGGGGTGCTATAAGGGGGGGGAATGGCGAAAAATCGAGGTGAGAAGGTCAAAAAACTGGAAAAACCTTGTTCCTATACGATTCAGAAGGAGATTTCGGATGAGATTCGGTTGACCTCGTGCCAATACCGCTGGAGTAGATATGACTGCTCATGCACCCATATATACATGCAGCGCTTCACCGCTATCAATCCCTTTGCTTCATACTGCAATTTGCAAATGAAGCGATACGAGCATCAACATCGGTCGTACGTTTGTGGGCGGGCGGGCGCGATGGGCGTCCCGTCGGTACGTTGCAGCTTAATAGGGCACTATTGGAAAAGGCGCCACGCAGCGTCCTTCTCAGGGGCTCCGGATTCTGTCATGATAAGCGTATTAGTCCCACACACTATCCCACTTGAAACTTATCGCGCTACTTGCCTTTAATATTACATGGAAAGAGTATCATTGCATATGTATGTAGCATGTAGATGAGGCGGAGGTGGTAGTGACAAGTGGCGCGCTTACCACTCGCGCGGCGCCGGGTTCGAATCCCGGGTCGACACCCGCCCAGGCCAACCAAGCCTTCTACCCTCCGGGGACGGTAAATTGGTACCAGATTCGTCTGGGAGGATAAAACACTGACTTGTACATCGGCTGGCCACCGCAAGTCATTGTATAGGCCACATCGCATTCAATAAGCCACTACGATTCTGAATGGAAGTAGAATGCGTA